CAAACAGCAAAAAAAATAACACCCGAAAAGCCCAAACAACAAAAAAGACCAGACAACAAAAAAATAAACACTCTTACCCCAAAGATTGACTCCACTGTGTTGGGGGATGCAGTGGCTGATAGTGCTCACACGCCCATACGCAGATAGCTTGCGATTAGATTGGCTTGATTTGCCAGGTGTTGTGCACTCCCCTCCACTGGTGTTCCTCGATGAACCGACCAGCGGTCTAGATGCCTTCTCGGCCTTGTGTGTGATGGAGAGCTCCTCGTCTGCAGAACATACATCATGCAACCGCAGTTCATTTGCTTTGACATCACGGGTCCAGAGCAGTAGGGGCAGCCAGAGTGGCTGGAAAGCTCATGAGGCCATGAGGCTAGGGCATGTGATACAACTGAAAGTTCAAGGTTCCTTGGAGTTGTTGCAGCAATGACCGCGATGCAGTATGACTGACGCAATGGTCCAACCGGCAAACTGCAAAATGCTCCTGTAACAGATTGCCCTTTCAAATGCTACATACTTGCACCTTTCTGACGTCTTGCGCCCAGAGCCAACATGTTGTGCCTCCACTGGCTAGGCATCCGCGCCCTCACCAGGGCCGGTCACGCAGTCGCGTGCACCATCCACCAGCCCCGGCAAGCCATTGTTGAGCCTGGTCTCGGACAAGTAAGCTGACGTAAGCCGCTTTGATCTAAGATTAGGATGCCAATAAAAGAAAAACCTGCGTGAAGTTGAATGAGGATGGTTAAGACTCGTACTTGTAGAGCCCACGAACCCATACGCAAGTAGTCCAATGGTCATGTTCAGGGGACAGGGTATGTGGCAAAGGCAGTGGATACGCAGTGAGCAGTCAGAGTTACGACGTGAGATGGTGTGGGAGGCAAGAAAAAAGGCATGGAAAATGTATACAGGTTAAGGTAGAGGAAAAGAGTAAGGGCCCTGTAAGCCGCAAAGAAGTGAGGGGCAAGGGGATCAAGATGGATCAAGCGGGAAGATGAGGGGAAGTAATGGATCTTTCTGTGAGCAGTGCATCGGCGGAGGGTCCAAGGACCTCATAAAAATGTGCTTTGCCAAGTAGCGTCGCCGCGGAGAAGGGTCCCATAAAATGATGAACGGGCCCAGAAGCGACGACAGGTACCTGCGGACCACTTGCACACTCGTGCGAGCTAGGGCAGTAATTCGACATGAGGTGCTTAACACCAAATCCGCAACCTTCAAAACCAGAGCCCCTTTTCTACAGATTCCGCTAGCAACAGTGAGGACATGTTCGACAAAGTCTTGTTCCTGGCTTGCGGACACTTGGTCTACAACGGGCCCCCGAGTGGCTTGAAGAAGTGGCTTACTGAGTCAAACCTTTGGGACCCAGAAAGGGCAATGACCACCTCCATCACTGACATGGCCACTCGCTTGCACTGAGCCACGAGGCGAAGCATGCACTGCAGCTTTAACTTTTTGATGCTTTGCTTGGTGACCAATGCTGGAGCGCAATCCAGCTCGACTAATCACGATTTCTTCTCGTTGCGGGGAACAGCATGTTGTTGGGCTGGGTCGGCTTCATGTTCAACACTACCTGAATTCAGTTTGGATGTTCAATGTCTATCGCAGCACCATCAAGGTCTTGGACTGCATCACCGTTGGCTTCGAGAAAAGCGAGTCACGGCACATTATTTGGGTGTTGCGTTTGGCAACCTCAACGAGTGGGGTGCAGACGCCCCCGCAGCTCGATAGGCCGGAGTCTAATCAGGCCTGTGATGGTACGATGAATTGCAGGCAAAAGTCGACAAGACTGTTAGCAAGGACTTAAAAGTTGTTGGGAACCATTCAACTTCAACCTGACATGCTTGGCACCAAGTCTGCGCGCATTCATCTCAGGAAACGATCTACGGGTCCAGGACTTTGAGGGATGAGGAGGACGTAGAGCGTTTGGCGGAGGCCTATCTCGACTCGATTCAGGGGCGAATCTTGGCCTATGCATTCCTTACAGACCCGATTTTTTATACTTCACTCCGAAACTGCGCTAACACTTGAAACCTGCCATCCTGTAAAACGATCTGAGGAGTTATCACCCCAGACGCTTCTCCGAAGAGCTTCGTAATGCTCAATGCTCGGCCTGGCGTCCTGTGCCAGTACTGGACGCTCCAGCGACAGCAATTGCGGAGCTCTTTGCGGAGTCCTGGGACCCTGGCAGCACGGATAGGCCTGCACTTCCTGATCGGTCTTCTAATGGGCTCTGTTTATTTTCGGATGAACCGCAGCTATATCCAAGCTCCAGAAGGGGTCTGGCGACTGCTGCCCTTGCCTCTTCAGAGGCACTCCAGTATGCCGGAAGATCGCGTCGGAGTCCTGTTTCTGCTAGCGCTGGCACAAACAGTGACCCCTAACTGCGCCATGCCTTTCTTCATAGATGATCGCCAGTATTATACGAAAGAGGCCGCGGCGCGCCTATATGGAGCCTTGCCCTACCATCTTGCAAATGTAGTGAGCGAAGCCGTGGTGTGTGCTGTCAACGGCGTGCTTGCCTCGGGAATCGCTACCCTGATGGCAGGGCTTCCTCTGAGTGGCAACTGGTACTCCACTATGGCCTTCCTTGTGTCACACCACATGTGCGCCTCTGCGCTGGTACAGATGTGTGCTCGGCTGGCCCCAAACCAGGATGTCGCATTCGTCCTGAGCGCAGGCTACATCATCGCACCTCGGCATAGAGCTCAGCCGAGCAGCTCAAGGAGGTGTGATTGCAAGCTTTGATGTCTTCTTTGTTTTACCATGTCATATGCAGTACTCACAAGCGAATACAGAACTGTGTACCTGGACCTATCCAGAATCAGGGAAACCGTCAGAGAGGCATGCAGTGCTGAAATTGCCTATGTGGGGAGAGAAGTAGGTGTCCCTTTTGGACGAGACAAGAATGAGATATGTGAGGATCTACGCTGCATTCCATGTTCCATGTACTTTTCCATTTGATTATCCATTATTGGGTGGAGGGTGGCCCTAATTTGGGCATGGAAACCCTCACATTGTAGTAAAGTTTCCATTCCTTTTTCCATTATCCCAGTATAACCCCTATGCAACCCCGCCATATTATAGTAGTTTCCATCATATTTTCCATTATCCCAATATAACCCCCTATATAACCCCAGTATACTATGGGAAGGTGAGAGCTCCATCCAAGAATTCTGTCCCGCAGCAGAGAGTGTCTAGCATTGGTTGAAACTACTATAGTACATGGGGTTATATAGGGATGATGGAGAACAAAATGGAAAGTAGCATAGTATGTGACCTTCGGCATGGTCCCCTCAACAGGCTGTATAGTTACTTTTTAAATCCGCTTTGCATCTAGCATGTGCGAAATTGCCAGTCAATTGAGGTCTGCATGCTCTTTGCCAACGTGGTGGTAAAGGTTTGCACAGTCACCCCTTTGCTAGCTTGGATGCGCTGGTGCACCTTCCTCTACTTTTCAATGGCAGGGCTCATCGAAGTTGAGTTTTCCGGTGGCTTGGCTCCTAACCAGGTTATTGGGGTTATAAGGAGATAATGGACAATAAACTGGGAACTATACTATGGGGGGGGTTACATTGAGGTTATGGAAAAATGGAAACTACTATTTGGGGTTTAGGTTGTAGGTGTTTTCCCTTTTGCGGGATCACAGCTTACTTAAACCAGAACAGCTTGCTGTCTGCCCCTGTGACGCACAGGTACCAAAGAGCAAGACTTCCCAGCAGGAGACCGTGTCGTTGACACGTTCCGCATACAGTGGGGTAATGGCGAAGATGCCTACACCCTGAGTGAGGGAGACTGCTTCATTTGCCTATGGTGCTTCTACTTTTTCTTCTCGATGGTTGGCTTTTTCGCGTTGAAGTTCGGAAGCAAGTCTCAGGTATGAGTTTTTCATGAGACCCGTTTCTGCTCCAAGCTCTTAAAAAGAACCGGCAACCAAGTGCTTCAGGAGCGTCAATACCAGAGAAGCATTTGTCTCGTTCCTAGCTCTAGACTCAATGCTGAACAAAGGCCGGGAATTCAGAAGCAGCGGAAGAGGATTTCAAGTTATGGTATGCATGTATGCTCATCCCATGGTGTCAAGTAATCATTGTTTGTTAAACTGGCCTGAACCATTTCAAACTGCATGGGCTACCGTAGGCTGCTTGCCGACTGCGTCATCTGAAGACATGCGCACGTAACCTGCGCAATCTACTTCAATTGCAACAATGAGCGTAAGCCCGGAGATCACACTCTTCTCTGATCGAAGTCTTCTTAATTGCTTCTGGGGATGGAAGCTAAATGTGCTTGCGCAGTCCACGCTCACAACGCCTCCACGTTATAAAACCTTGGCCAAAGCATTGTGCAGCCAGGTCTGGTGGCGAAGAGAATGGTCCAGAGTCAGAGTCCAAGGTTGCAATGCATTTGGAGGTTCTCCCCAATGCCACATGTAATATTGGTTCTAGTGCCCAGGGATGTCTAAGCTTGGGCATCCCTTATTGACAAGCGTTTGATTCTGAATGTGGACGAAGCAAGTGTCCCATCAGGGGCTCCAGTTGTACTGCTGGAAAAGGGGTAGGATCAGTGAAGGTGTCTCTGAACAGAAGAGCCTTGCATTGGCTGGGATGTTAGGAGAGTAGGATGCCATGTACATGCGGCTTTTGAGCCATATCGTGTGCGGGGCAGGACTCTACAAAGCTTTTGGTGACATCCCAGGCTCCAGAGTTTAGGGTTTGCAACCAAGAAGATCAGCAGCTGTTGAGTGGCAGCTGCAAAACACAACGACCGGCTGGCGGCTAGCAACCTGGCCTCGTTTGCAGCATCCCACCAAAATATGTGTACTATTCGTAGGCGTATTTTTTACTACTCTTGCTATTAGTATTGCTGGGCTATACTGGGGTGATATGGGGATAATGAAAAGGAAAATGGAAAATACTATGTAGGATGTAACTGCCACGGAAGCCCCAACCCAAGCAAGACTTCCCAGAATCCACATCGCAAGCCCTATACTGCCCTATACTTCATACGTTCAAGTCCAAGCCCTGCCTTGACTATCCAGGACGTGGTGGTGGCAAGTTACGGACGACAGCTCCATCGGCATTGCGCCTCAGGCGTTTCCAAACCAAACGCCTTTGCTTCCTTCAAGATGTCTCATTGGGTTGGAGAATGTTGGAGAGGAGAGTAATTGCATCCATCAGCTAAGAACATGTGGGTTTTGCCAACAAGACTGGGTGGGTGCCCAGCCTTGCAAAAACACTCCTCAACTACAAGTTTTCCAGACCTAGACAAACCTGGCTAGGGAAATTGTCATAGCTGGCAGCCAGGCTAGTGTTTCTCCTTGTTATTTCTGATTAAATCTGATTAGCTTGGTTGCGCATGCGGCTGGTACACACTTCGGGGTTTCCCAAAATAGCGCTACCCTTCGGGGGGCCCTATAATAAGGATAAGAATATGATGGGGTCTATATTATTGGGGTCCCCCTATTGAGGGAAACTACCACTTCTTGCTTGTGAACAGACCAAGCAATTATGCTTCAGACAACAGGGCTCTTAAGCCAGGTGAAGGTGCCAGGAACATCACTGAAAGAGGTTTTGGGAGAATAGCGAACACTCATCTTCCTGGCAGCATATGAGATAGCAGGCCTCAATGTCCTCATGAGGTTGAGATCACTTGCAAAATGCAAATGAGGAAGGTATTCTCCTAGGTCTGAGAGCTGAAATGTTGAGGCCGGTAGTGACGCAATCTAGACCCTGCATGTGGCCAAGAGAAACATTCTCAGCCCTAGACCCTTGTTTGAAGCATCCCGAATCTTTGATATCCGAAAGTTTGCAGAAGCTCGTGCAGGCACTCTGCCCTTTGACAGTGCCAGTGCCTCATATGGCAGCTGTTGCTGACTTGTTTCGATTTTATTTTCCGTTATCCCTGTATTACCCCTATATAACCTTATATAGTATAGTAGTTTCCATGTTCTTTTCCATTATCCCTGTATAACCCCAATATATTAGGATAAGCGGTTCTGAAAGCTGGGACGGGTCTCACGTGCAGTCCCTTGTTACTTCAAGCTGGTTTGGTCGTCCCATGCTTGGACTTTTGGAGGCTTCTCGTGAAGTGGTGTGGGTCAGGGAAAGGCGTCATTTCTTGCATCCTGCCGACATTGCTGAGCTTGAGACCCTTTAAGGAAGCCTCGGCGCCTATTATAACATGGTAGTTTCCATTTTCTTTTCCATTATCCCTATATAACCCTTATAGCCCCAATATATACCCTATTATAATATAGTAGTACTACGTGATTTCTTTGCTTTTGCAAGTGTGCGGCGTCAACTCAAGGAGGTGAAAAGTTACAGTACTATACTCCCCCCTTAAGTAGATAGAATATGGCTTTGGGTATATTATAATAAGATCCCCATATACCCCATATTCTATCCCTAAACCCTAAACCCTATATAACCCACTATAGTCGTTT